GTCCCGTCCCCGAGTAGAACTTGGACAGACCTAGAGCAGCTCACGCTCAGGGATTCACAGCCTTGCCTGACTTTTTCTCTTCCATCGGTAAGAGCCGTTCCATCTTTAAGCAGAGGCGGGAGTGGGGGGCTTGGGAAGTAGTCATGCTACAGTTAAAACCCCTCCTGCCGCCGGGGTGGCTCATGACCGGTTATCCACAGTAAAGGGGAGGACGGGGGCACCTTCCTTCCGTCTTTGCTGGTGGACAGCCTCAGAAGGTGGCAGCTGCCCGGAGAGGCAGAGTGTCCTTGCTGACGCCCAAACCGCACACGCTGTGTGGGGCCCCCCCGACCCCCTGCTTGGTCGCTGCTACACTAGGGAAACCTTGAACGCCACGAACATCAGTGCATTCCCTCACATGAAACTGCACCGCAGAATCCTGCGCGGAAATGCAGCATGTCATTCTCACATCCTTCTGTGAAATTTACGTCTGCTCTAGGACGAAACAGGAGAGGTCACTTCACTTCCCACGCTTAGGAGGGCGTGTTGCTGAGGTTGGTCTGAACAGTAACTTTTGCCAAGTGGACATCAGCCATTTTACCCATTGGTGTCAAAGTAAAGTGGACCCATCAGAACCACCACCACCACCTTCAAGCACATTGCTTAGACGTATGCAGCTATACACCCTGTTAATTGTTGGTTTCTCTTGATTGTAGTGTAATCAAACCCTGTGAGTTGAGGGGTGCCTGGGAGGCTCAGTCGGTTAAGGGTCTGCCTTCGGCTCAGGTCATGATCCCGGGTCCTGGGATCGAGCCCTGTGTTGGGCTTGCTGCTTAGTGGGGAGTCTGCTTCTCTCTCTGCCCCTCTCATCTGCTTGTGCACGCTCTCTCTCTCAGATAAATAAATCTTAAAAAAAAAAAAACACAAAAACCCAAGGAGTTGAAGTGGACTGAACTACTGCTGTTAGATTTATGGTCAGTTCAAAGGATGTTCTTGTGTCTATATTGAAATAGTGTAAAAATAGATACGTACGTTGTACTTCACTGGTTACTGTAAATCCTTTTTTTGGGGGGGAGTTAGGTTTTATTTTTATTTTATTTATTTTTTAAATATTTTATTTATTTGAGAGAGAGAGAGAGCACAAGCAGGAGGGAGAGGGAGAAGCAGACTCCCTGCTGAGCAGGGAGCCCGATGTAGGGCTCCATCCCGGGAGCCCCGGGATCATGACCTGAGCCAAAGGCATACACTTCACCGACTGAGCCACCCAGGCGCCCCTTTATTATTTTTCTGAAAGATTCATTTATTTATTTGAGAGAGAGCATTCGTGTGCATGTGTGCGTGAGGAGCGGCCGAGGGCAGAAAGAATCTCCAGCAGACTCCGTCATGAGTACAAGCCGGACATGGGGCTCGATCTCACTACCCTGAGATCATGACCGGAGCCAAAATCAAGAGTTGGACACTCCATCGACTCAGCCACCCAGGCGCCCCTGGAATTAGATTTTAAAAGAAATAGTCATTTAAAACCTAGTTAAGAAGAGGTTCAGTTGTGGGGGAGGTGTGATCCAATTACTGTGTTTTCAAAAATTAAACTGTGTAGTTGATGTAGAACCGTCGGAGACAGAGGAAAAGTCTTGTTGACCTGGTGACATTTCACTTGGCTCTCTTGCAGGGCAGGGCTGCTTTCTGTTGTCTTTTCTCTGCTGCTTACAAGTGAAAAAGCCTTTACAAAGTTAACACTGTATTGGGAAAAGCTCATCCTAACTTAAAAGTTTAGAGAGAAATTCAATCCATGATCAGAAAGCAGGAGAGCCAGACCTGAAGCAGAAGTTTTCCTAGTTGCAAAAAAAGGATGGTGCATGAAAAAAAAAGAGGAGCGCCAGGGCACCTGGGTGGCTCAGTCAGTTAAGCGACTGCCTTCGGCTCAGGTCGTGATCCCGGAGTCCCTGGATCGAGTCCCGGGCTCCCTGCTCGGCGGGGAGTCTGCTTCTCCCTCCGACCCTCCCCCCTCTCATGTGCTCTCTCTCTCATTCTCGCTCTCTCAAATAAATAAATAAAAATCTTAAAAAAAAAAAGAGAGGCGCACCAGCCTAACAAAAATGTCCCACAATCCTTGGTGTCTCGAGGATGTGATAGTGTCCTGCTCCAGAGTCCTGTGTGAACATGTGTGCAGACTACAGACACTTGTGGGTGGCGAATGAGAACATGGCTCTTGGAGCTGCGGGGACATTTTCTCCTTAGAAAACAAAAAAGATCTGGATGCTGAAAGAAGAAATCCATATTTTATTTTCTAATGAAACTCCTGATAATTTTGTAGAAAGATTTTACGTAGGCTATCTGAAAAAGCCTGGCTCTTATGGGTGCACTTTCAAGGATGACTTTTAGTTACATGGCTGTGTCATTAAGTAACACCTGTGAGCCGGCCCCACATTTCCCTGCATCTTCATAAATGCGGTTCCTGTCAAACACAAAATGCTGACTTTTCTTCTCCAGAGAAAACCAGCAGCAGTTTTGCAATTTGGAACATTTGGCAACGTCTGGAGACGTGTTTGATCATCATAACTCTAGGGGGTGGGCGAGGTTGTGCTGGCCTTCATCCTACAGTGCCCAGGACGGCCCCAGAACAGAGGATCATCTGGCCCCAAGTGTCAAAAGTACCAACGCTAAGAGCCTGTTAGATTTTACTTCTTTCTGATCACCCAGCGTGACAGAATAAAAGAGAATGGAGCAAGGGTGGTGTCTGAGGCATTTCAGACTGTGGTGACAACATGGCACAGATGGGGCAGCTTCACCAACAGACGTGTCCTTCTTTGCGGCTCTGGAGGCTGGAAGTCTGAGACCAAGGCTCTGGCTGATTTGGTATCTGGTGAGGATCCACTTCCTGTTTCCTAGATGGGCGTGTGCTCCTTGTGTCTCACCTCGCAGAAAGACCGAGAGCTCTCTGGGGGGTCTCTTTTATAAGCGCGCTAATCCCATTCATGAGGGCTCCACCCTCATGACCTGATCACCTTCCCGCGGCCCGACCATTCACAGTAGCGTGAATTCGGCCTTGTAACTGGTCGTTACTGCCCCACGTGACGGTACCAAAAGTCTCTTCAGTGTTAGCGTCGTGTGGTACAGGTTTTTGTAATTGTTTACTTTCTCTCCCTTAAATAATGGGTGTTTTTTTTCCCCCCATTTGGTTATGCTCTGATTTCATAGCTTTTTATTTCCTCTCTAATATTTTCCTAACACTGTCTTATGAGTGAATTCCCTAGGATGCAAATAAACCTCAGGACAGATCTGTATTTTGACTGTCAGGTTTTCTTTTCAGTATATACATAAGTACAGAATATTACCAAAGTAACTAAAGAAGATAAGCCTTTTTGAGTGGCAAAATTCTGGTAACTAATGTGAGAATTGGAATGACCCAAGAGGCAGTGTATTGGTTCTCCATTGCAGCCTAATGATGACCACAAATTTCCCCAGTTGGAAATGACACCTTTCTCATCTGGCAGTTTGTCTGGATCCCGAGTCCAGGCATGCCTTTGCTGGGTTCCCTGCTCAGGGCCTCACAAGGCTGCAGATAAGGTGGTCGCTGGGCTGCATCCGCATTTGGAGCTCGGGCGGAGGGGAGGAGGTTGTCTTCCAAGCTCATGTTCTGGGCAGAATTTCAGTTCCTTGTGGTTGTAGGACTGAGGTGCAAAGCTTCCTGTGGGCTGTCCCCAGTTCCATGGGCAGTTCACATGATGACAGCCTTTACCTTCAAGGCCAGCAGGAGAGTGTCTCCCTCTAGGCCGCTGAGAGTCTTGTGTGATATAATAATTAGAATGACATCTGGTCACCCTTGCCATAGCACGTAACCTAAGGAGGAGAGTGACATCCCTGTCCTTTGACGGATTCCGTGGGGTAGAAGTGAGTCACAGGTCCTGCGCACACTTGGGGAGGGGGTCTTAGCAGGATGGGGCTTCACTGGGTGTGTCCCTTACAACTGTCTTGAGTGTGAATCCCTGAAGGTCTGCTTTGCCCTTTAATCTTTATTCTCAATAAACAAAAAGTTAATTCTCATTTAACGATAAAAGTTTTGCCACCAGTAAAAATGCCTGAAAATGTACGGTGCGGACTTTGAAGACAGTTCCCCCACAGCCAAAAACGTTTGGGGTTGGTGACCTCACTGAAAGGTGTCATGGCCTTTCTTGGCTTTGGCTCTTTTTGGAGTGAGTGCTGTTGTTGATGTCTGCATTCCAGTTTGTTGGTGTCTAAGAAGAGTTCTGCTGCTTGATTGACTTCTCTCTCCTCTCTTTGGGGTTACTTGCTCATACGCTAACTGGGATCATTGTGGAGAAAATCAGATTCTCTCTTTTTGGTTGCTCTCTGTCCATGCTCCATCTTCCTGAGACCTGGCTTCTTTATAGAAATGATGTGACATGCACACTTCAGGTGACATGCACACTTCACTTCTCACTCGTGTGTGTTTTCCTTCTCAGTGCTGCCTGTGGGTAGAGTGAGCATTGGGTTTATCCCGTAAACTTGGAGTGAAAGGTACTGTGATTCATCTTTTCCTAGGGCAACAGGCGCAATCTGGTCCATGTGGTCACCTGCCCTAGGGGTGTTGACATAACTTCTGGTCTACTCACGAATCTTCTCTGTCTAGAAAAGTGCTTAGTGTCTTACCCACCCAAGCCCATCAGAGTGCACTTCAGGATTCCGTTCCTGCTCGTTACCAAGTATGTTGTGCTCACAGTGCGCACGTATCATTAGTGTGGTTTATCCCTGACCCTATTCCAGCCTTATTAAATACACCAACGCCTTTTTCTCTTTTTATTTTTTTGAAACCTTTCTCCTGGATATATATATATGTCATATATATGTCATTGTGAAATTACGATTACCTTCATGGTTATCCCATCATGCGTATATGTCGTACAATTACCTTCATGGTTATCCCATCATGGGTATGGTATTTTCAGTCTCAAGAAAGAATGCTGGGACAAAAATACAGGCAGTGTTTTACAACTCTCTTCCCACTTTTTCTTGTCTCACAGAGGGTGGCTCCCGCATCGTACGGACCTCATCGCCGCGAGGTGAGGCTAAGATGAGCATAACCAGTGACGAGGTGAACTTCCTGGTGTATCGCTATCTCCAGGAGTCAGGTAAGGGGCTTAGGTTTCTGTCCGTAGGAAACTCACCTGCAATATGCCACGTGCAGGACCATCCACCATTGATTGAGAAACCGGGCTAGGGAAGAAGAAGAGCAACTGACGTTCTTGTTAAGAGAGTTGAGGGAGAGAAGGTTCTGGGGCTGCGCTGCTCCTGGGGTGGGGTGGGGCATGTGTTCTTTCTTCCCTTGATCTTTCTGCCCAGATGAGATCAGATTGCAGTTATGGTCAAAAACAGTTGGGGTAGACCTGGAAATGCGGGGCATTAATGGCTGGGCTGGTGTCTTCGTGGCGTGTGTATGTGTGAACCTCTCAGCCTTAAGAACACTGATCTTTTGAGCTCCTCAGCCACACCCCACCACGGGCCCTTGGCAGTTTCCCAAAACCTAGGAATAGTTCTGGTTTCTTCCAACACTTCTGATTATGACCAAGCCATTACTTTCCTGTACGCGGTGAACAGGCCGGCTGTGTGCTCCCTGTGGACAGGGTGCAGCTTGCGAACAGCAGCTGGTGTCTGCAGGGGGCAGGGACGGGGGCTGGCCGGGCTTTGTCACAGTACAAAGACAGCCCTCTGAGGCGTCCTCGGATCCCTCCGGGCCTAGATTCGTGCATTAGACAATGTCGCAGCTGCCCCCCACGGCGCAGCCTCCACTCAATTTAGTGGCTTGCTTGTGGGTGCTTTCTTAAATGCTCAAGACTCTGAATTCTTTTTTAATTAATGTTAATGGATTTTTAATTTCTAAAGCAAATACTGTCTTTAAACTTTTAAAACTTTAAAATACTTCATTTGAGATGTACATAGTGACATTTATGAAAAACACGGTTGTCACCACCTACGCAGTCCCGGGCCCGAGGGGTGCCTGCGTTCGACTCTGCGGTGCCGTCCCCTCCCTCCCTTCAGGGCTAACTGCCCCCCCCCCCGCCCCCCCCTCCAGGGCTCCAGTGCTGCTGCCTCC